ATTTTATTCAAAAATAAAAACATCATCGCTTTCTCAAAATCACATAAAGCCATATTATAACATCGACTGAGATAAAGAATAAAATGAAATATTAAAAACACGATRTATYTYRYTGCATTGCGCGAGTACGCTTCTAGTATATATATATATAGGGGACTAATCAAATAAGAATTAATTAGTTTGTGGTAATCGTGAGGTCCAATCTTAACCACAAATCTACAGATAAATTAGAAAATTTATAATTTTGGTAATTTTTAATTAAAATTTTAATACAAAGACATTTTAGGTATTTTTTTCTCCTATCTCCTCTCTCCGTCCTCCGGTGATACCGTAGTGGTATCACAATGCATCTTATATGTGATTGAGTATCACACTATGGTTGTTTGTGCGGTCGATCGAATATGTAACACAGTGGTACCACAATGCATCTTATATGTGCTTGAGTATCACACTGTGGTATCAACGGAGGACGGTAGCCGAAAGACGGGGACGGAGAGAGAAGAGAGGAGATAAGAGAGAAAATACATAACATGTCCTTGCATTAAAATTTTAATTAAAAATTACCAAAATTATAAATTTTTTAATTTATCTATTGATTTGTGGTTGAGATTGGATCTCACGCTTACCATAAACTAGTCAGTTCTTCTATAAATGGACCCCTATATATATATCATACGGTATTTTCGAATGGGATAATTCATTACGTTTGATACGACTTGTGTTTTATATATTACGTTATCCGTCCCTAGATAACTGACCATAATAAAATCTGTACATAGTTTTATATATTAATAATTACTAGAAGGGTACTCAAGTGATGCAGCGAGATAAATCTTCATTTTAATTGCTAGTTTTTTATTTCTCAATCGATATAATACGATTTTATGTGGTTTTGAGAAAATGATAATGTTTTTATTTTTGAATGAAATATAAAGTTGAAGATAGGATAAAAATTTGAAAAATGTAAGCTGATATTAGTATTAAATTAACTATTTAATAATTTTATTTTTCTTTGTGTAACTTCTTTACTTCAATTTTCTATTATACGTTAATTTAGATTTAATAACAAAGTAATTTATTTTTAGTTTAATAATATAATTTTTATAAAAATGATAATTAAACATTATGTTAGAACTTAATGATTATTTTAATTATAATATTTATCATGTATTTGATTATGTTTATCTGCAGTTAGTTACACGAATTTAAAACATAGTTTTAATAAGTTGTACTTAAGCAAAATTACTTATAACCTTGAATTGTAAGTAATATACATCAATAAAATTTATCTCAATAATAAAAAATGATTTTAAGAGCTTTTGCAAAATGTTTTATAATATAGTATAGATTACACTTTTTAGTTGATGAGATGATAATTTTACCTTAACTAATTTGTTACTTTATACAACCATTAAATATTTGTGTTTTAATTAATTAAGTTATATTAAGTGGCGGACCTATTATTTTGTCCAGTGGGTGCACATTTAATGTGGATTAAATGTCGTAAAGTTGTCCGATATGTTTTTAGCGGACTTCCATTCTTTCAAGGGATTTTTAAAGTTTTACATTGATTTTGAGAAAATTTTAAGCTTTTTGGCCGATTTCAAAAGACTTTTTTTGGTTTTGCTGTTGATTTCAAAAGATTTAAATTTTAGTTGATTTTGCAACGCTTTTTTTCTTTAGTTTTTTGGTTGATGTTTTATATTTTCTAATATTCTGAAACACCACCCAAAGTTTATTAGTTGCACTTTTCAACAAAAATTTACTTACAAATATAAGATGCATCCATTCGGTTCATAGACGGACCTAGAGGGGTGGTTAGGTAGCACGTGCCACCATATTGTTACTCTGTGGTAAGGTAAAAAAAATTAGGTTCGTAAAAGGTGCAACCGTTTTATATGGTGTCATCGTATCCAAAAATTCTTGGGTCCGTCCCTGATTCGGTTATACATATGTCTGCCCTCAGATTAGATTTCACAAATTAATTATCCATTTTTAAAATTTGAGAAATATTTTAAAAAAACATAAATAAAAACAATACTACATAACGTCATAGAGACGGACCTACATGAAAGACCTTGTATGCATGTGTATACTTTGTATTTTAGATAATGAATACGTACACGATTATATATATATATATATATATATATATATATTTGCCATATATGATGGTGAAAGCTAAAATTGAAATTTCTTAACATGGCATGGCATGGCATGAAAGATGCATGCATGTATGACATGTCAAGAATCAAATGATATATTATTTTATTTAGCATTGTGACTAACAACTTTCTGCAAACATAAATATGAATTTGCAATTACAGATAAACCCCAAATAAATATAAAAGCAAAGTAACCAACTTTTTTGGTTTTTTTCACCACATGCATCGAATTTTTCCAAAAATAGTCAATAGCAAATGGTTTTAGAAAAAAGACGAGTTTATTGCTATTAGATTTACATGGTGATTTCATATGACGTGTATATGGGTTTCGGGGTATATATTTATATTATTTTATAAAGTATTTGACAAAAACTCTTAAAAATCATTCTTTATGCATGAAGTACTGTGTATTAATGTATATTACTTAAATTTTAAGATTACAAGTAAATCGTGTATAAGTACAACTTATTAAAAATTCATTTTGAAATCGTATAAATAACTGCAGATAAACATAATCAAATACAGGATAAATATCTCATTTTAAATATACAAAATCTAAAATACAATTAGGATAATTCATTGAGTCCTAACAAAATCATTATCTTCATAAAAAAATCAATGTTAAACCAAAAATAAATTAATTCACTATTTGACCTAAATTAAATTATAATAAAAAATTGAATTAAAAAATTATAAAAAAACAAAAAACATTTAAATGGTTAATTTAATATTAATATCGATATACTTTTTTAAATTCTTATGATGTCTTTAAAATTATATTTATTCAAAAGTAAAAACATTAAATTTCTCAAAATCATATAAACCATATTATACCAACAAATACAAAAAATCAAACGAATCATTAAAATTAAAATGTATCTGGATATATTGTACGAGTCCCTTATAGTATCTTTAAATAAATAAAATATATATCTAATTAAATACGATGATGAGATAAGATTTTAAAGATCTAAGAATCTTGATGCATGTTAGTAAATCGAACATATGATCACCTCTCAAGGTATCTCGTGTGTGTATATAATATGCATATATATAATCACAGATTGATACATGAACTTGTCACTTCCCAAAATAAATGATCAAATATAATATAAAACACTAAAAAATTTATTGTTAAGCCAAAAATAAATTACTTCACACAGATTGAAAAATTCGTTTTCATTTTTATTTCTCAGTATTAACCAAACAACCCCTAAGTTACGATGTTCTAAGAAATTAGGTTTTTGAGTTTCACTATTATTATCTTTATAAAATTTGCTTTTAAATGTTGACAGTAACTTTTCATTTTCAAAAGTCAACGACGTCCAGTAATAATACAAAATGAATTACAACAATTGAACCATTAAAAATCGTAAAAGAAATTTACACCATGACAAATAAATTCAATGGAGACCACCACTGTAGCCTCGATATACGAATCTACATAAAGTCAGATAAATTGTAAGAAGATGATAAAAACAAAATAACCAAATTTGGCGGTTTTGTGAGCCGAATTCATTGAAGTTATAATGGAGATGTTACAGTAAAAAAACGAGTTATTGCTAAAAATATACTTAGTGAGTTAATTTGTCATATTAGACATGGTGATCAAATTAGGTTTTTAACATCCGTAAAATTTAATACAAATCGAAGGAGTTGAGGCTTATTTAAGGGGTTGTTTGATAGTTGTTGAATGGTTTGATGTAGAATGATTAAGTGGTCAGCATGATTAAAAAACTTTCATGATATAGTGCAAAATGAAATATAATTGTTTGGTAATTGTTTACAATGAAATCAGGACACTTAATGGTTAAGGGAGACTCGGAATACAAAATCATTCAGAGGGTTTTAAAACCATTAAAAGACAGATTTTTTTTTTCCAAATAAGATTCACCTCTTAATAATTCTGATGTTGTCTCTTAATGTAACTATTAAAAAATAAACAAACAAATTGTGCCATTTAGATTGGAAAAGAAAACAAAAGTGAAGGGGTGTAAAATGAAAATTTTATGTGGTAAGGTGGTGGGACAACGTCGAAATGGGTCGGTGAAAACGAAATTCACAAATGTTTAGTGTCCTTTGGACGGCAATTTTTTTCCACTCTCCATAATTACAATCCACCTACTCCAAATATAGCCGTTGGACAGTCTACACCCTTCTTATCTTCCTTTCCCTTTATATACGGTCCCTAATCCCTATCACTCCACCACTATCTCACTCCTCCACAACCCACTTTTCTCTTTCTAACCAAGTATCATGACTAAAGATGTGCCGGAGCAAGGTTCCTTCTCCGCCAAGGACTACCACGACCCACCGCCGGCGCCGTTTATCGACCCCGGCGAACTGACCAAGTGGTCCTTCTACAGAGCTGTAATCGCTGAGTTCGTTGCCACTCTTCTCTTCCTTTATATTACTGTTTTGACCGTTATTGGCTACAAAGCTCAGACCGACCCTGCCAAGAACCTCGACCAGTGCGGCGGAGTTGGAATCCTCGGCATCGCTTGGGCCTTCGGTGGCATGATCTTTGTTCTCGTTTACTGCACCGCCGGTATCTCCGGTGAGTTTTCATATCCTCAATTGTGTGGTAACTAATTAAACACGTAACACCAAATTATGGAATTATCCCCAAAATACCCTGCGAACATAGGAATGCACAAGGGTAAATAGGTAATTGAACAGTTTTTTTTACCGTTGGTAAATATTTTTATGTAAATGTGCAGGAGGACACATTAACCCAGCAGTGACTTTTGGTCTGTTTCTGGCTCGTAAAGTGTCACTGATCCGTGCCTTCATGTACATGGTGGCTCAGTGTTTAGGAGCCATTTGTGGTGTGGGTTTGGTCAAGGCTTTCCACAAAACCTACTACAACAACTACGGCGGAGGAGCCAACGAACTAGCCGACGGCTACAACAAAGGCACCGGACTAGGCGCTGAGATCATCGGAACTTTCGTCCTCGTCTACACCGTCTTCTCCGCCACCGATCCCAAGAGAAGTGCCCGAGACTCCCATGTTCCCGTACGGACACTATCACTTTACGATTTCAAATTTGTTTGTTTTAACGTTTGTATGCATGAAAAGTAACTGGAATTGGGTTTTGATCGTAGGTTTTGGCACCACTTCCAATTGGGTTCGCCGTGTTCATGGTCCACCTTGCCACCATTCCGATCACCGGTACCGGAATCAACCCCGCCAGGAGTCTTGGAGCTGCCGTCATCTACAACAAGGAAAAAGCTTGGGATGATCAGTGGATATTCTGGGTCGGACCTTTCATCGGAGCAGCCATTGCGGCTTTCTACCACCAGTTCATATTGAGAGCAGGTGCAGTCAAAGCTCTTGGATCCTTCAGAAGCAGCTCTCATGTTTGATTTGAGATTTTAATTATTGTATTTTGTTATTAACTTTTTTCAATGCAAAAAAAAGGTGAAAAATGAAATAATATTTATGGTGGAATTCTCGTTTTAGCCTTCATAATGTATTTAATATTCATTGGCTGGATGGGGTACAAGAGTAATTTCATTTATATTTTGGTCAAAAAATCAAACTTCTGGTAATTGAATGAATTTGGTTGAAATTTTATTGACATTAAAATGCAATATTGAAAACATGCCAATTATTCAAGTTGTAATAATTGACATAAATGTGAAGTTATATTAAATATCACATACTTCATGATTGATAATTATTAACTCTTGGTTAAATATATGCTCTTAATCTAAGCTAAGGGATGATAAAAGAACCGAAGAAAACGATATTATATCATTTATAAACGTTTGAACTTCAAACGACATAGTATTAATGGATGAAGCTAAATTAATACAAAATCATACACAACAAGCACTATTCTTTATGTCCCTGATGCGGGGATGAAATTGAGACTGTCGATCATTGCTTTCTTTGTTGTAAGGAGGTCTTGGATGTGTGGGTACAAAAATTTGGGTGGTAGGCTTTTGGCTTCTCCGATGTGGTTTACATCGCGAATGTTTTTTTCTCTTGAAGATCTTCCTTTACTTTATTCGATGGCAAAAAGTTGGTGGCAAGCGGTCTTACGGATTTCAATGTATGTGCTATGGAGTTACCACAATAAAATGGTGTTTTCGTTTATCTTGGACTTGGCTTTTGACGTCCAACGTTTATCCTATCAATGGTTAACTCATCGTACATCAGGTTTCACTAATTCTTGGGCAGATTGGTGTTGCAACCGAAAGCCACTTGTAGGGCCTAAGTTCTGATGCCTGGTGGATTTCTTTTTGTTTGTCTGCTTCAAATTTTTAGGGTCTTGAGTTTTTGTTCGTTTTAGTTTAATCTTTTGCCTTTGGGTTTTGGTCTCTGGTAATGGGGTTGTTTCCTTTTTCCCGTCTTTTGATTGGTTTATAAATTGTTGTCTTTCATTTAAGCCATTACTACCACTTATTGCTTCATGTCGAGTCTTCTCTATCCTTAAAGCAATTTTGTCCCATTGAGTGTCCTTTAAATTTTTAATGAATTGCATCTCAAGATAAAATGAAGCAATGTTTACATATCGATTATCAACACCGCACTAGTGTGATAATCCCGGTTAAACTATTGCGTAATCAAGGATTTTCAGAAAATCTAAGAAGTGCAATTTAGTATGAGAAAAGAGTGAGTTTTGGGTGTTGATAGGTAGGTATACAAGTAAAAGTGACAATCCCTTGAATCGTCTCGAGTTGACAGTTTCCACCATCATGACAGTTTGAACTTTGAATCATCACAATTATTCCAACAATCACCATCGAAGGCAAACGTTGCCAAAGGCGACACTTCTAAGCCGACACATACATTCCACGCAACCCATGGTGTGAACCATCATGACCGTTCACAAACAGAAGCAACCATACACAAAAACTGTCACATTTGTTCGGTAACAAACCCATCTAACTGTGTAACTATCCAAATATGTCTTCTGTCAAAAATAAAAGTTGCGTTTCAAAGTGATGTGTGTGTACACCATCAAAGCGCAACATTGCGCCCATAGTCGCGTGTGCACAAAAGTCGCCACCATTTTTATTCCACTATTTCACCTACGTGGGATAAAATGAAACTTACCAAAATGAGTTTTTTTTAAGACTCCGATTCAAAACAAATAAAGTTTTATGTTGTTTTGAAATATTTTCCAACACAATGTCCAAAAATAACAAATTTACCAAAAATAAACTCGGGAATCTTCCAGAAATAATTATTCGTTAACAACACAAAAGTCTTGAAAAAGCATCATAATTTGGATCCTATGCACCTTTAACTAGAAGTCACTCGTTATTTCTTGATTTACAAGGGAAGTTACGCTAAACCCCACCCATTTCCTTTCTAGACACCCTACTATTATCAAGTATATATATATATATATATATATATATATATATATATATATATATATAGAGAGAGAGAGAGAGAGAGAGAGAGAGAGAGGTGGGTTATTATACAATTTTTTATATTTGTATAATCAATACAACTCAATCTCAACCATCTGTTTAATTTGATAAATATGTAATTTATAGAAGTTTTGATTATTACTTATTATAAAGTATTAATTATAATTAATTAACCGTATTCATATTCCATAAATATTTAAATCATAATAAATAAACTCTCATCATTTCCATAAATATTTCAATTTATTGGGTTGCATTGATTGTACAAATTCGATAGGTTGTATTTGAAACAAACTCTATATAATACATATCTATCTATACTTTATTATAAAGCATTTGTCAAAAATTCTTAAAAACATTTTTTATGCATAAAGTACTGTATATTGATGCATATTACTTAAAATTCAATATTACAAGTAAATTATGCATAAGTACAATTTATTAAAGCTTCGTGTTTGAATTCGTGTAACTAACTGCGGATAAACATAATCAAATAGAAGATAAAAATATAATTTTACAATCTAAAACATCTAAAATATAATTAGGATAATTATCGAGTTCTAACAAAATAATTAATTATTATCGTTATAAGAAAATTATATTATTAAACTAAATATAAATAACCTAAATTAAATTATAATTAAAAAATTGAATTAAAAAGTTATACAAAAAATGAAGAATTTTAAATAGTTAATTTGATACTAATATCAATATATTTTTGTCAAATTTTTATAATATTTTCAAATTTATATTTTATTAAAAAATAAAAAAATATCATCGTTTTTTTAAAATCACGTAAGATCATATAATAACATCGACTGAGATAAAGAATAAAATGAAAAATTAAACTCAAGATGTATCTCGCTGCATTGTGCGAGTACATTTCTAGTGTATATATAAAACACTAGAAATGTATTGCTTATTGATGAATATTACTTAAAATTCAAGATTACAAATAATTTTACGTAAATACAATTCATTAAAGTTTCATAGTTGAATTCGTGTAACCAACTGTAGATAAATATAATCCAATACACGATAAACATCTTATTTTAAATATAAAAAAACTAAAATATAAATAGGATAATCATTATGTTCTAACAGAATACTTAATTATTATCTTTATAAAAAAATATATTATTAAACTTAAATTAAATTATAAAAAAATAAAATAAAGAGATTACATAAAACAAGAACTTTAAATAGTTAATTTAATACTAATATTCATATATTTTTTTCAAAATTTTATGATATTTTAAAATTTATATTTTTTTAAAAAATAAAAACATTATCGCTTTCTCAAAACTACATAAAACCGTATTATATCGACATAGATAAATAATAATACGAGACATAGAAATCGAGATATGTCTCTGTGCATTCCACGAATATCCTTCTAGTTTCTAAAATACAGAGTTGAACGTTAAAATTTCTGAAAACAATTATATTTAATGTAATTAATTTTCTATTTTGGAAATCCCAATATAAACTATTCTATAAATTTATATATACTAATACGGTTTTTTAAAACGAATTTATATAAAATAATAATAATATTTCAAGGTAATTGATGACAATGGATACAAGAGAATTCTTCAAACGTGAGGGCTTTTCAATTTTACAGAACAAAATAAAATATAAAAACTTATTTTTCCTGTTTTAAAGAATTTGTTGAAGGTGTTTTATTGTTATAATATCTTTGAAAAACCAGTAAAATTTTAAATATATATATTTTAAATATGTAAAATAAATACTCATTTATGAACATTTAAGTTTTATTTTAAGTTGCACGTTTTTACAAAAACATTAAATACCGACGCTACTACACTTATATAACCTGTGTATTGTTATCTGCCCTTTTTTAAAACTCCTAATTATTTCATATTATATTTGCATCATGTACTTTTTTTTTAATTTTATTATATTTAAATTAAAATATTGGTTACGTCACCTGGTAATTATTTCCATCCATTCATTTCACAAAGTGGGCCCATTTTTGATGTGTGCCACATAATAAAAAGACCCTTTTTATCCTCGTGAAAATAACAAATTGCGTAATGGAATTCTGGATGGTTCTATATCCTCTTGCTAAAATTTATATACAAATTTATACTGATTCAAATCCAAGAAGAAATAAAAATTATTTTGTGGCTATAGAGTTTTAAATATGGTGATTCCGAACTATCTGTAAAGCAGGTGATCGTCCTAAGATTAGTCAGCTCACATAGTGAGTTGATGTCCAAGTTAATAAAAAAAAGTTATATACAAATTTTCATTTAATTTGTGTTATAACTTTAACTTTATCGAGTAACATTAAATTAAGGGTTGTTTGTCATACGTTTACTAAGTAAGCGATTAGCAGTTTATTTACATTACCGGGTGAGTAAAAAATAACCAAGAATTTTACGCGGGAAAAAGCGTGACAACAAACGAGATTCTTATCTAGTAAGTGAGGAAGCGCTTACTGGGTATAAGACGCTTACAAACAAAACGTTTTTAATAGTTGTTAATGTTACCAATAAGCGCTTATCCGGTAAGTATTTGATAAGCGTCTCTTGAGTCGTACGATAAAATGTAAGGCGGTAGGAATTTTTTAAAATCTTTTTCTTAACAGTGTAAATGAACAGCGTTACACTAAAGTTGGTTTGTTACTATTTATTATATCATATTTGATGTAAAATTTTATATTCATGTTGGAATGTGACTAATTAGATGTCGAGTTCAGTATTTAATATAAGATTTGACGTCTCTATTAGAGATAGTCTAAGTCAAAATATCACTAAATAAGGGATGTTAAGACAAATCAACACATTAAAAGTCTTGATTTTGATATTTTCATAATCCAAACCCTATATATATATATATTCTTGTATTTATAATTATATGTTAAAGTTTAATAAAAATACAACAATCGTTAAATATGTTGTATTTATAATTAAAAGTCTTGATTTTGATATTTTCATAATCCAAACCCTATATACATATTCTTGCATTTATAATTATATGTTAAAGTTTAATAAAAATACAACAATGTGAGATAGAAACTGACATTCACCATAAGATATAAAAAATTCTCTTATTAATTTCTCATTCAATTGCTCTAGAA